GGAAGGCTGCTTGTTGGGGAGGGCAGGCAGAGAGTAGAGGTTAGAGGGCAAAACTGATGCAGGTTTACTGGAGAGCACTCCGGGCAGAAGCCGATGAGACTGAGACTCCTGGCCTGGCCCTGTCTCCCAGCCCTCCCTTAGATGCTGACAAAATACAGCTCAGAACAGGAGGCAGATGGGCATATTCCACTCGGCTCTACAGGATCCACAGAGGCTCTGCTACAAAGGGGACAGGAGGTCACACGCTGGTATTTTGGCATCTTGAGTGTTTTGCAGCTTTGTAAGTGCCAAGAGACGGAGCTAGTGTTGTCAGAGAGGACACAGGAGCAGTGACACAGCCAATCCTTCGCTGACAAGGCTGAGGGAGACCAGCGCAGAAGACTGAGGAGCCACACTAACCATCAACAGTGAAGGTGTGGTCCACGGTACTTACTCTGCAAGTGGGAGCAAATCATATGTATATATATTTTCACAAAAAAACAAACGTAATTATTTTGTTTCAAACACATACCCAAAGAAAACATTTTGTCTGACATTAACACTGGGATATTGAGGGTTTTTTTCCTATGTGTATATTTTATAATCTTTTACCTTCAACTTTTCTGTATTCTGGGTTTTAGATATAACTTTTGTAAACATAATATAGCTTAAAATTTTAATTTAAAAAAGGTTTAGGAAATTTCTGTCATTACTCTTAGTGTGGCCTCATTTGTACCTCCTCATTTGAACTAGTGGGAATGAGAAATCTGGAATCCATTCATTAGAAAACAATCTCATCATGAGGAGTGAGCTGAAACAATTACCTCTAAGTGTTCTTATCTTTGAAATAAGAATCTAAGACAGCACACTGACGAAAATACAAAAGTGGTCTCTTAAGCTAATAGCTCCTCCGGAGCTTCAGAGTGTTGGTTTTTTTAGTCACCACTTTCAGATATGTGGAAAATAAGATTATCTATGAATTCTTAGTATTTCCCTAAATACTTATTTTCAAAATAGCTCTCAAAAGACAAGAGGGTTTGTAGCCACAGTCAGACAAGTAAGTCCACTTCAATTATCTGGCTGACCATGGTCCTTAGGAAAGCCCTAAATGAGATAAATTTATTTAAAAAGCCAAGCTTTGAATGCTGTTCATGCCTCGGCTCTGGACAGGCTGGACTCTGTTCTGACCAGCAAAAGGTCAGTGCAGCTCTGGTCTACAACACTGGCTGCATTTACTGTTTCCACACAACACGATAAGCTTATTTGCAGGAGCTGTCTTATTTTTCATGGACAATCTACATTTATTTATTCATGTACAACAATCTGCATTTATTCAGGTTCAACAATATACATTTATTCAAATACAGCCATGTCTTCTTTTTGTAGATCATCATCATCACTCTCCAAACCCTGAATTCCAGCCTGAATTCCTTACGACTCCATTTCCTGAATTCCTTACCACTGGCCCCAGTCTCCCATGTCCAGTAAGAGAGCTCTCCTTCTTGTCCACGTAGCCTGCTCATAGTGTCCTGCTGATATAGCTGTCAGTGATTTCATCCCATGCATTCTTCACCCGAGTCGTGACCTCTCGCAGGCCGGGCTTTGTAAAGTTTCCATTCAATCAAGTATTAATTGAAGACATTTGAGACAGGAGTAGCAACCAAAATGATGGCAGAATGATGGTCCACACAAAAGTGAGGAAAACTTGCAGACACCAAAATTCAAAGAATATTTTATTTCACACGAGTGCGTTATGTCTGTTACAACACATGACATATTGAATTATGAAGACTTGTATCACACAACCACATCCATTCATTATTAAGTGTGCACGCTGTTCATGCACTGTGTGTTCCAATTGGTCATTCAGGGAGAAGTTTGAAGTCCATCCGTTTTCCTAAGGGTTTACCTCTTGTCCAAGGGCACTCAGTGAGGGATTTACAAGTACTTAATTATAATTTATACTATCAGTTAAGTATTAATGTCAATAATATTATGTATTTGTATTTAATTATATAGTGATATTATTTTATAATTCAATACATCTGTCCTGTATTGTAACAGACATGCTAAATGCATCTTTCTGCTGATGCTCTTGACTGGGGCTTATCTTTAGGGTAAGGCTTAATATTAGGAGCATCCTGAAAAATTATGCTAGGACTTATTTTCCAGTTAGGTCTTACTTGGGGGGAAATATGGTAGTAGGCACTCAAACATCTATCAAATAAAAGAGTAATTTAATAAGGCACTTGTAAATTAAATGTGATGTCCACAACTTGCACACAATGCCTTTCTACAAATGCTTCACTCTTGAGCTGAGTACTCTGCAAGGGTACCATAACCACTCAGGTCCTCAAAATTTTAATTTGAAGGCAAAGTAGAGGTTATATTTTAAGATCTTTATGTTATTAGGGATGCCAGTTCCCATGCCCAGAGAAAATGGTTGGCATGTCAGATGGAAAGAACTGGACTGCAAGCCTGGAGATGTGGGCTGTAGTCCTGCTGTGCCTTTTCTCAGGAGTGAATTACCCAGAATCAGTGCAGTCTATACCTATAACTTACTGGCCACCAGAGAAGGGAGGTCAAGCTGAAGAGTCACATCACCAGCCTCGGGTTCAGGATAAGACCTGCATTGGCCAGGTGATAACCAGAAGATGGGTCAAGTGACCTAGCACAGCCATAGAGTCCTTTGGAGAAAATTTTCCTGTTATCCAGTTTACAAACAGCCTGGGGTTAGGAAAACATGTTTTACTGTAGAGAGATTGCTAGGTATGCAAACACTCAGTTAGTGGTGTCCTTGAAACTCACCTTGAAAATTGCACTTCATGGCTTCTGTGAACTAAGAACATTCAGTGGGAGATCAGCCTAGGATTTCTGAAGGGCATGTTAGTAGAGGCTACTGAAAATTAATGTAGCTTATTTAATAGGCATCTTTTGTATGAAGAATACCTGATACACATTAATGAAGTTATCGTTACATTTTCATCATCAAATATAAGGCCAAGGAGATCAAGGCTTATATTTTTATCTTTGTTCATTGCAACATTTGCTAGAACAGTGCCTGCCACATAATAGATACTCAAAGATATGTCAAACAAAAGAATAATAAGGTCCTTGTGAAGTGAATTTATATGCAATGTTTGTTGAATATCAAATGTACAGTGGATCCTTGACTTACAAACTCAATTCATTCCTAAGGGCTGGTTATAACTCAAGTTGGTCAGACTCCTCTACACAGCCTTCAAAGTCTCTCTCCTGTATAATCTTAGGCCACACTTTCTTCCAGGCAGATCTCTGTGTCCTTAGAGAGACACTGGCCCAATTAGCCCCACACGGGAAAGGATGTTGTAATGTTCTTTCCAGAACTCTTTGAGGGTTAAATCTGTATCTGAGACCATCTGGAGGCACAAGCAGCAGGCATTCAGGTCATAACTCAAGACTTTGGTCATAAGCTAAAACTAAAATGCCAGTCGTAACCCAAGTTGTTCATATGTTGGGCCAGTCATAACTTGAGGGTCCACTTGTATCACAAACTTTCTTAACCAAAATCATAGTAACTTTATAAAAATACATTTCCTTCTTATTTTCTTCTGTAGTCTTCTAGCAACCCTGGGAGACTAGTAAAGATCCAAACCTTGTTTTGAGGAAACAAGAAAAAGCTGGAAATTGTTATTTCAGAGTTACATATTAAATCTTAAGCTAACCAGCATCAGGCCTACAAGATGGAACTCTGTAGCTTCCTTCCAAGGTCACAAAGTTTCATAGACTACCTTTTCAGCTTGTTCCCATCCACTACCAAGAAAGGGTGAAGTAACATTTTACTAGTGTATTCCAAGATAAACAAAATATTTCACTATATTAATTAGGTATCAATTTTCCTGCTTTTACTAAAAACCTACCCTGTTTTGCTGCTTTGGCTTATAGATAGAAACCAAGTTTCTTGGTTGCATAAAGAGAAAGAATCTGACATTCAAAACATTAGCTTCACAAAATATTGCAAATCACTTAGATTTTCATGAGAAAAGATTTTCTTAAAGGAACAAGCTTTAAAACTCCAGTGGGACAAGATATTCAAATTGCTTTTCTCCTTCTACTGGTGTTGCACACCTGTAATCCCCACCACTTGGGGGGCTGAGGCAAGAATATCACAAGTTCAAGGCCAGTCTGGCCATCTATGTGAGGCCCTATCTCAAAATAAAAAGTTTTTAAAAGATTTGGGGATACAGCTTGGTAGTTGAGTACTTTCCTAGCATGAACGAAGCCCTAAATTCAATCCTCAGCACCACACAAATAGAAAAAAAGAAAAACACCATAAAGCTACAGTAACCAAAATACGGTGTTGCCATAAAAACACTGACGTAAAGACGAAGAATCTAGAAAATAATCCACATGATACTCATAACTAATTTTTGTTTTGTTTTCGTGGTGCCGGGAATCAAAATTAGGGCTTTGCACACGTTAGGCAAGTGCTCTACCATCAAGATACACCTTTCAACAAGGGCAGTAAGGACACAG